GGGGAGGGCTGATTGGTCAGGTTGGAGAGGGAACCATAGGGGGTTGAAGTGAGGTTTTCTTGCTGTTTTCTGTTCCTGGGTGGATGGCAGACCTGGTTGAGCCAGATTATGGGGCTGGATGGGACCAGCTGATCCATCCAGTGCGGGGGCTGCAAAAATATCTCAAGTACTGACCTTAGGTTTAACATCACAATAGTGATGTTACCCCCGGGAGAAACTTGGGGAGGTTCAGACTCTTGCAGCCAGAGGCTGCATGAGCCCTAAACTGTAATTTCTAATCTTGTAGCTAATTTGTTAGTCCTGCAAAGGCAGACTGGTTCCTAGGCAAGCAGGGGGCCTTTTTGGGAAAGGGGTATTATCAATTTTGTTTCAGAGTGAAACCATGAACTAAATTCCTTCCAAAGGCTAGTTTGGCCTACACCCAGGAAAGAGCAAGGTTAGAAGCAAGATGGAGCTTCACTTGAGTCCTGGAGGTAGAGGTTGCAGTGAGCCGAGATCATGTCATTGCACTCCAGCCTGAGCAACAGAGCAAAACTCCATTTCAAAAAAAAAAAAAAAAAGGTCAATTAAAGGTGTGGCAATGGCGATTTGAGACAGCCCAAGAGCTGACCAATCGCTGGTGGGATTATAACCCTGTCAAAGTCCTGAAGAGACCTTCAGGGACATCCGAATATGAGCATATCTCCCTTCTGATTCTGCTTGCGGTGCACACACAGCAACAGCACAACCACGTGGGCATGGGGGAAAGCTGGGAAAGCTGGTGGCCCCATTGTTCATAAGAGAAGAAAGAACATGAAATGCTCACCAGTGACATCATCGTGGGACAGGGGCGATGGTGCCGCTGATACGAATGAAGTGGGTCTCTAGCACCAGTAGGAATACCTCTCAAAAATATCACAAGCAGTTTAAAAGACAGGCAGAGGAAAGGTAACCAAAGGAAGACAACACTGATGTCCATTTTAACCTGCACCAAAGAAAACTATAGCTTGATTATGAACGCACACACGCACGCACTTGTGTAATAAAGTTTTTTTTCTTTTAGAGGTGGGATCTTGCTCTGTTGCGCAGGCTGGAGTGCAGTGACATGATCATGACTCACTGCAGCCTCGAACTCCTTGGCTCAAGTGATCCTCCCACCTCAGCCTCCCAAGTAGCTTGGATGATAAGCATGCATCGTCATAACCAGTTATTGCTTATTTATTTATATTTTTTGTAGAGATAAGTTCTCACTATGTTGTGCAGGCTGGTCTCAAATTCCTGGCCTCAAGTGATCCTCATGCCTCAGCCTCCCAAAGTGCTGGGATTATAGGCATGAGCCATTATGCCCAGCCTGTAGTAAAAGTGGTTTAAAAAAATCACCTAGAGGCAGGGCGCGGTGGCTCATGCCTGTAATCCTAGCACTTTGGGAGGCTGAGGCGGGAGGATCACGAGGTCGGGAGATCGAGACCATCCTGGCTAACACGGTGAAATCCCGTCACTACTAAAAATACAAAAAAAATTAGCCGGGCATGGTGGCAGGCACTGTAGTCCCAGGCACTCAGGAGGCTGAGGCAGGAGAAAGGCATGAACCCGGGTGACAGAGGTTGCAGTGAGCCAAGATAACGCCACTGCACTCCAGCCTGGGCGACAGAGCGAGACTCCGTCTCAAAAAAAAAAAAAAAAAAAGAAGTATATTGGTTCAGTCTGGAAAGATGGAACAACTTGAAGCAAAGGCAGGAAGACTGGAATTAGGGAGGGGGTTTCCAGGTCATGAACAAGTGAGAGACAAACAGTTGCCTTCTTTTGAGTTTCTGATGAGCCTCTCCAAAGGAGGCGATGAGATACGCAGTGGCCTCAGTGAGCAGAGGGGGGACTCTGAACAGAATGGGAGGCAGGTCGGCCCGAAGCACTTCCCAGCTGGACTTTTCCCTTTAGCTGAGTGACTTGGGGGCCCCAAGATTTATGTTCCTTTCACAGTGTGTGAGTGACAGCACTTGGAAACTGAGAAGTGGAAGTGTGGCAGGCCGGGTCTCACTAACACAGGCCCCCACAACACCTGCTTCAGTATTGACTGACGGGTTAAATATTAAAAGCCAGCGCCCTTATACAAAGGCTGGAAGGTAACAAAAGCCCACCAAGAGTTTTTCCCAGGCCTTCCCTGGGCCTTAAAGGATGACAAAATAATGAAGAAATTCTTCACAGGACCCATTTAGGATTAAACAAGTTTTACTGGGGGTCTGCAGAAACTCCCCAGACCTCCACAAACAAGCTTATTGGGGCTTTGAAAGAACTCCCCAAACCTCCGTGACTTAGCAGGAGACAAGATAAGGGTAATCACCGCAGCACCTGGACCCACTTCGATGACGTCAATTTACTGAGGCTCCAGAGGAAGGTCCTCAGGACTCACACCTTAGTTATAGATGAAAAGAAGTTAATCACTTATATCTTTAGATAAATGCGCACACGTATATCCACATAGCTTGGAAGGTATATAAGCTCTGGAAAACTGTAATTTTGAGTTAGTCTGGTGGTACTTTCCAGGGCTTCTCCCTGTAACAGGTTGCAGAAATAAAAACTCTCTTCCTGCCCAGCTCACCTGTGTTTCATTATTGGGCCGTGAGAAATAGCAGCCCAGTTTGGTCCGGGAACAGAAGGTTTGGTGTTATCTTCATCACAGGCGCTGGACTGTCAGTAATGTATTCCATGACAATTCTTAGATTTCTTTTTTGTGTGGCTTGCTCCGTCATGGCAGACAGCTACACTGGCTTCTTGCCATAGAAACGAACTTCTAGTAACAAAACGGACACCTCTTTTTTTTTTTTTTTAAGTTTCAGGATTCAAGGCTTTCTATCTGCAAAGTGATTTTTAAGTAGACAATGGCAATCTATAAACACACCGTGGGCAGCAAATGAGAACAAACTGCAAGGTGGACAGTCACGCTGAGGTGCTTGTTTCCGCAGGCTGCTCCTAAGGGAAGGACAATTTTCTCTTCTAACAGTGCAATGTCGTTTTCTCCACAGATATCTACCCAAAGCCGAAACCACCTTCCTACCCACAGCCCGAGAATCCCAACAGCGGTGGAAGTAAGAATCCGCAGGCCTGAAACTCTTCCTCAGTCTGGTTTGATGATGTTTGCCGTTTTATTTACTAGCAGGTTTAGCCTGGTTGCATTTGAAATATGTGTGTAATAGTTCCCTTACTGGGAATGTACTTTCCTTCCTCACTGGGGGGAGCAAGAAAGTCCAATGGACAGAAACAATCTCATTTTCCCTTTGCTTTGACATCTGGAAACCACTAAGATGTACTTGTAACCACCCAACTGGTTCACTTTGTTGGCTGCCTAGACAGAGCTGATTTATCAAGATAGGGGAATTGCAAATGGAGAAAGAGTCATTCATGCAGAGCAGGCTCTAAGGGAGACCGGAGTTTTATTACGACTCAATTCAGTCTCCGGAACATCTGGGGAGCAGAGTTGTTAAGGATAAGTTGGCGGCTAGGGGCTTGGGAGGCGGGGAGGGCTGATTGGTCAGGTTGGAGAGGGAACCATAGGGGGTTGAAGTGAGGTTTTCTTGCTGTTTTCTGTTCCTGGGTGGATGGCAGACCTGGTTGAGCCAGATTATGGGGCTGGATGGGACCAGCTGATCCATCCAGTGCGGGGGCTGCAAAAATATCTCAAGTACTGACCTTAGGTTTAACATCACAATAGTGATGTTACCCCCGGGAGAAACTTGGGGAGGTTCAGACTCTTGCAGCCAGAGGCTGCATGAGCCCTAAACTGTAATTTCTAATCTTGTAGCTAATTTGTTAGTCCTGCAAAGGCAGACTGGTTCCTAGGCAAGCAGGGGGCCTTTTTGGGAAAGGGGTATTATCAATTTTGTTTCAGAGTGAAACCATGAACTAAATTCCTTCCAAAGGCTAGTTTGGCCTACACCCAGGAAAGAGCAAGGTTAGAAGCAAGATGGAGCTGGTTAGGTCTGGCCTCTTTCACTGTCCTCATTTCCTCAGTCATAATTTTCGCAAAGGCGGTTTTATACTCAAAGAACACTTTGCATTATCATCACAGAAAGCATATCAGGCTGCGAGACAAGTCCTTTTTCTCACTTGTGTTCAGTGCTCCAAATACCTTTGGCTTAACCATTCACAAAACCCCACGTGTGCCGTGCACTTTATGTATTTTAGAGTTGGTTTCTCCGTTTTTTCTAACATTTGGCAGACAGTTTTTTCCACAGATTTATTACACTCACTGAAAAATATGCAATTCAAAAAAAGAAAGAGAGTGAACGAGAGAGAGAAGAGTGGGTGGTAGGGAGAGAGAAAGAGAAAGAGAAAAGAAAGGGAAACGAAGAAAGGAAAAGATAGATTCTGGCCATTAAAGTTATCAGCAGTTCAACAACCTTAAAAACCTAAATGTTTGCCAGGCAGAGCAGCGTGAGGCTGGCTAAATCAAGAGGGGTTCTGGAAGCTTCCTGGTAGCTTGTTCTGGCTTTATACTTTCCCAGCTTAACAGCGTGTCCATTCATTGCAGACACAGCACATTCAGATGGACAGAAATTATCTCCTCTTACAAGGAGTCATTAAAAATAGAGACCAAGACCCAAGGGAGATGATACCCACTTGAAAAACAACACCTCAGGCCGGGTGCGGTGGCTCACGCCTGGATTCCCAGCACTTTGGGAGGCTGAGGAGGGTGGATCACCTGAAGTCAGGAGTTCGAGAGCAGCCTTGCCCACATGACAAAACCCTGTCTCTACCAAAAATACAAAAATTAGCTGGGCATGGTAGCATGCACCTATAATCCCAGCTACTTGGGAGGCTAAGGCACGAGAATCGCTTGAACCCAGGAGAGGGAGGTTACAGTGAGCCAAGATTGCACCACTGCACTCCAGCCTGGGCAACAGAATGAGACTCTGTCTCAGAAACAAAAAATACCACCTCACCCTTAACTGCATTAGCCAGGTATCTTTCTTTTTTCCCCCTTTCATGATGAAAATCCCAAACACCACCCACCTTTTTCTCCCACTATTTCCTCCTAGTCTTTGGAAAACCATTGTCCCACAGATCATGGCAATGTTGCAAGGTACTCATGGGAATTCCACAGGGAACGTGTTTCTTGCTGAAACATACTTGGGAAACACCCGGTTAAACAGACTGCTGTGGGCTTCCCTCCCAGAGAATTCAACAGGACTTAAAATGCGCCGCTGGGCATGATGGGCCACGTCTGTAATCCCAGTACTTTGGTAGACTGAGGTTGGTGGATCACCTGAGGTCAGGAGTTCAAAACCAGCCTGGCCAACATGGTGAAACCCCATCTCTACTAAAAATACAAAAATTAGTCGTGGCCTGTAGTCCCAGCAACTCGGGAGGCTGAGGAGGCGTGAGAATCACTTGAATCTGGGAAGCAGAGGTTGTAGCAAGCCGAGATGGCGCCACTGCACTCCAGACTGGGCAACTGAGCGAGACTCCGTCTCAAAAAGAAAAAGAAAGAAGGAAAGAAAGAAAAAACTTAAAATACGAGATCCTTTAAGACAGGCCATCTTCAGAGTGTGAACACTCAGCCCCTCCCACAGCAAAGTGACTCATGAACCCCAACAGGAGGGGAAGTGAGGCTCAGGCTGGGGAGGTGACCCCCCATGACTCAAGCCTCAATCTCCTGACGCTTGCCCGACAAAGAGGAGGCTTTCTTTCCAACTTTGGTTTTTCATGTTGTGCTTAAACCCAGCCATGTTGATGCCTTTAACGTGGCAGTCCTGAATTATTAATTAATACTGTGTGGATCCAAAATATCTGAGACAGGTCTCAATCAATTTACAAAGTTGATTTTGCCAAGGTTAAGGACATGCCCGTGACACAGCCTCAGGAGGTCCTGATGACAAGTGCTCAAAGGCATCAGGACACAGCTTGGTTTTACACATTTTAGGGAGACATGAGATATCAATATGTGTAAGAAGTACATTGGTTTGATCTGGAAATGCGGGACAACTGGAAGCAGGGGCTTCCAGGTCAGAGGAAGATAAGAGACAACTAGTTGCATTCTTCTAAGTCCTTGATGGGCCTTTCACTGAAAACTCAATTTACATGTGAGACGGGGCAAAGGGACAGTTCACTGGGCCTCAATCTGGCCCAGTGAATCTGCATTTTTACACCAACAATAGGGCAGAGGAAGCAATCAGACATGCGTGTGTCTCCGGGGAGCAGAGGAATGACTTTGTGTCCCACACCCGGGAAGACGGGCTCTCAGTGTGAATATCAGGCTGAAATTCCTCAGAACTGTTGTAGGGTAAACAAAACAGTTTACTTTCCTCAGATTGTGAGGACAGTATGTAGCTTTTAAAAAACTGTAAAAAAAATTTTTATAGCTATCTTATTTAGAAAGAAAATGGGAGGCAGGTCTGACTTTTTTTTTTCCCAGCTTGACTTTTCCCTTGGCTTAATGATTTTGGGGTCCCAAGATTTATTTTCCTTTCACAATTGAACATGAGAACATGGAGTATTTGACACAGGAAATGAGCAAATTTAACGTATGCACCAAAGGAAGGGGAAAGATGAAGCTGCTTGGAACTTAATTATGGAGACTGTGGTTCATGAGCAGAAATTCCCCTTAACCAGTGTTCTTGCCCAGGCTAGCCCAAATGAGCCCAGGCTAGCCTAGATTCCCCAATGTGTATCTTGAGAACGAAGAAGAGCCCTAGAAAACAATGTGTAACATCCCTCCAAGATGGGATGTTCTGGAACAGTCTCTCAGACAACGAAGGCAATTGTTGATGGGCAACATTGGGAAGATCCCAGAGATGGAATGTCCTAGGCCTTTCCAAGTTCTCTTTCTCATTCTCCCTCCATTGACTTGATAGGTGGCTGAGGATTTATAAGTATTTACCACACATCAGCCAGCTTTCTCAGGATGACTCCAGTCATGCTTGGAGCTCAGTGGTCTCTTTCCCTTAGTATTTGATCTAGAGGAACCCAAGATTCTCTCTGTGCCCTTTGAAATGCAGCACATTTTTCTTGGCTTCCATGAGCTCCTGTGGCATTTCTCAGGCCAGCTGTTGACTCTGCTTCTCATGTCTGTGCTTGTCCCTTTGAGAGATGTCAGCGTCACTTCACCAATTCTTTTCTCTGACCCCAGCAGCTCCTATCCATGTTTTTTTTTTTTCTCAGACAGAGTCTCACTCTATTGCTCAGGCTGGAGTGCAATAGCAGGATGGCACTATCTCGGCTCACTGCAACCTCCGCCTCCTAGGTTCAAGCGATTTTCCTGCCTCAGCCTCCCAAGTAACTGGGATTACAGGTGTGCAACACCACGCCCAGCTAATTTTTGTATTTTTAGTACAGATGGGGTTTTACCATGTTGGCCAGGCTGGTCTCAAACTCCTGACCTCAGGTGATCTGCCCGCCTTGGCCTCCCAAATTGCTGGGATTCCAGGCGTGAGTCACCACGCTCGGCCCCATGTTGTCTTGAAAGTAACAAGACAGGCACGGATTCTGTCTGAGGCAAGCTGTTATGGGATGGATTATGTCTCCCTGCAAATTCATAGGATGAAGTCCTAACCCCCAGTTTCCTCAGAATGTGACTGCCTTTGGAGATGGGGCCTTTAAGAAGGAGATTAAGGTAAAATGAGGTCACTAAGGTGGGTCCTGATCCAATAGGACTAGTATCCTAATAAGAGGAGATGAGGACACAGACACACACAGAGGAAAGATTATATGAGGACACAGGGAGAAGACGGCGTCTCCAAGCCCAGGAGAGGGGCCTCAGGAGGAACCAGCCCAGCCCACACCTGGATCTCAGACGTCCAGCCTCCAGGACTGTGGGAGAATCAATGTCTGCTGTTTATAAGCCGCCCAGTCTATAGTATTCTGTGATAGCAGCCTGAGATGGACTAAGACACCTCATAAGAAGAGGAGATGAGGACACAGACACACACTGAGGGACGAGCCTGTGAGGACACAGGGAGAAGACGGTGTCTCCAAGCCCAGGAGAGAGGCCTCAGGAGTACGCCCAGGAATCCATGCAGTTGGAGGTTGTGTGTGTGAACGAGGGGGGGAAGCTCACAGAGGATGGCGTTCTGAGGGAGGACTGACCTCACAGGGAGGCACCCAGAGACTTCCTGAACCAAGCCACCGATATGCAGCTTGTGAGCTCCAGGCAGTGCCTTCCGGCCTGGAAACCAAAGCTCTCTTGTGTCCAGTCCCCACTCCTCTGGCCCCCAAGTTTCCATAATCCCCCACAGTTGTGTCATTTTAGAGACCTCAAAAGAGAGTCTAGGTCGGGTGTGGTAGCTCACGCCTGTAATCCCAGCCCTTTCAGAGGCCGACGTGGGTGGATCACCTGAAGTCAGGATTTCAAGACGAGCCTGGCCAACATGGTGAAACCCTGTCTCTACTAAAAATACAAAAACTAGCTGGGCATGGTGGTGCATACCCGTAATCCCAGCTATTTGAGAGGCTGAGGCCAGAGAATCGCTTGAACCCAGGAGGCGGAGGTTGCAGGGAGCTGAGGTCGCAGGGAGCCGAGGTCACGCAGTTTCACTCCAGCCTGGGCAACAGAGCAAGATTCTGTCTCAAAAAAAAAAAAAAAAAGAGAGAGAGTCTAGGCAGGGCATGGTGGTCCATACCTGTAGTCCTAGCTATACTCAGGAGGCTGAGGCAGGAGGATCACTTGAGCCCAGGAGGTGGAGGCTGCAGTGAGCTATGATTGACCACTGCACTCCAGCCTGAGCAGCAGAGCAGCACCCTGTCTCGAGAGAGAGAGAAAGGGAACGAGAGAGAGACTATTCTGAGAAGTGAAAAACTAGTCATTCTCAGCCCAGATTTCCAGTGTTCTGAGATGCCTGTTCTGAAGGACTTTGAGAACAACATCCTTGTCTTTTTTGTGAATTAAAGTAGTTTCACTCTTGAGCCAATGTGGATAAGCACTTGCCAGGTACTGGCAGTGCCAGGTACCAGGAATATAAAATGGGTACAGAAAATAAAGTTTCCAGCCAAGTGACAAAAAGGTGTTGGAGATACAGACTCATGTTGTGCAAAGAGCTTGCACTGATGATTTCATTTCAGCTGCTTGAATAGAATCAAAGGACACTTAAGCTGAGACAGGAGGGATGAGCTAATGCTTTTCCAGGTGACAAATGGATTCTTCCAATATTTAGGGAGTGTGTAAAGTGATGGACAGGAAACAGGAGGGGCCATGACAGAAGGAATGTCACCTGCAAAAGTCCTGGGGCAAGGCTGGGAGTGGGGGCTCATGCCTGTAATCCCAGCACTTTGGGAGTCCGAGGTGGGCAAATCACCTGAGGTCAGAAGTTCAAGACCAGCCTGGCCAACATAGTGAAATTCCATCTCTACTAAAAATACAAAAATTGGCCAGGCGTGGTGGCACACACCTGTAATCCTAGCTACTCGGGAGGCTGAGGCAGGAGAATCATTTGAACCCAGGAGGCAGAGGTTGCAGTAAGCTGAGATCGCGCCAGTGCACTCCAGTCTGGGCGATAAGAGTGAAACTTCGTCTTAAAAAAAAAAAAAAAAAGGTCCTAGGGCAGAAAACTCATGGTAAACTTCAGAAACATGCAAAAGTCACTGCAAAAAGTTTTAAGAAATTCAAATGTAGCCAGGCTCAGTGTGGCTCATGCCTATGATGATTCCAGCTCTTTGGGAAGGCAAGACAGGACGATTGCTTGAGGCCAGGAGCTTGAGACCAACCTGGGCAACATAGCAAGCCCCTGTCTCTACACAAATTTTAAAAATTAGCCAACTGTGGTGGTGTGCACCTGTCGTCTGAGCTACATGGGCAGCTGAGATGGGAGGATTGTCTGAGCCCAGGAAGCCGAGGCTGCAGGGCGCTGTGATTGTACCACTGCACTCCAGCCTGGGCAACAGACCAAGACCCTGTCTCAAAACAACAACAAAACAAATTCAAATGAAAGGGTGTAACTCAAGCAAGATGGAAATACAATACACTATCAAAAGGTCAGATGTTTTATCCTAATATTGGTGACTGACTTCTGTGCCTAAACAGGGAAAGGTCAACAACACACTTTCTGCCCTGTTCATTTCAGAGAGCCTTGGACTTCTTGCGAAAGCACCAGTGGTGTAAGTTTAGGGCACAAAAATAAAAGTTTTTTTTTTTTTAAATTGTAAGCTCTGAGGTGGTATTATGAATATTGTCTACATGATGAATAAGCTCCATAAAAGCAATGGGCAGTTACATCTTTTCTGTATTTTGGCATTCTTATTTATAGATGGTATCTACCTGAAAGATGTCATTATTTTTCTGATATCATCCTGTTGTTTTTCAACAGATATCTACCCAAGGCCAAAGCCACATCCTCAACCCCAGCCTGGCAATCCCGGCAACAGTGGAGGTAATGAGTATTTTTAAATTTATTTTTATTTTATTATTTTGTTTGATTCTATGTTATTTTACCATTTTATTTGATTCTATGTTATTTTACTTTATTTTACTATTTTATTTTATTATTTATTTTGGAGACAATGTCTCGCTCTGTTGCCCTGGCCAGAGTGAAGTGATGTAATCACAGCCTCGAACTCCTGGGCTCAAGTGATCTTCCTCCCTCAGACTTTCAAGTAGCTAGGACAACAGATGTGCACCACCATGTGTGGCTATTTTTCAAATTTTTTGCAGAGACAGGATCTTGCTGTGTTGTTCAGGCTATTCTTGAACTCCTGGCCTCAAGCAATCCTCTGCCTCAGCCTCTCAAAATGCTGGGATTACAGGCACCAGCTATTGTGGCCCAGCCTGGTAATCAGTATTAAAATCCACTTTAGAAGTGTCTGGGGCCAGGCACAGTGGCTCATGCCTGTAATCCCAGCACTTTGGGAAGCCGAGGTGGGCGGATCACTTGAGGTCAGGAGTTTGACACCAGCCTGAGCAATATGATGAAACCCTGTCTCTACTAAAAATACAAAAATTAACTGGGCGTGGTGGCACATGCCTGTAATCCCAGCTACTCAGGAGGATGAAGCAGGAGAATTGCTTGAACCCGCAAGACGCAAGACACTTGTGTCTCCAAGTGTCACTGTGGAGACACAGTGAGACTCCGTCTCAAAAGGAAAAAAAAAAAAAAAAAAAGAAGTGCTTCACACCTGTAATCTCAGCACTTTGGGAGGCCGAGGTCTCCTCAGGCAGATCACCTGAGGTCAGGAGTTCGAGACCAGCGGCCAACATGGTGAACCCGTTTCTACTAAAAATACAAAATTATCTGGGCAGAGTGATGCGTGCCTGTAATTCCAGCCACTGGGGAGGCTGAGGCAGGAGAATTGCTTTAACCCAGGAGGCGGAGGTTGCTGTGAGCCAAGATTGTGCCAATGCACTACAGCCTAGGTGATAAAGTGAGACTCTGTCTCAAAAAAAAGGGGGGGATGGTTGAATACAAGTATTATCTCATCTCCATGGTGAAAGACCAGTTGCTTTTGAAATGCACAGACATTGTTTTGCGAGGAGTTCAGTTCTTCTATATCCACCAGCACCTGGGGATTACATTTAGTTGATAGTAAATAAATTTAGATTTTTTTGATGACATTGACTGAAAAAACCATGCACACTAAGACGTTTCAAGTTATGATGGAGGAAGGCAATTTTTTTCTTGTTTTTTTTTTTTTTTTGTTGTTGTTGTTGGTCTGTGTTCTACTCACTACTTCTTCCCTCTGCAAGAGTTATCTGTGGCCACTTTGCCTGTGTTCCTACAGCGCTTCCCATCTCCACCTTGGCAATTGTGTCTCGTGAACGTGAGATACTCAGGAAGGAGATGCGGGTCTGTAAAGTTGGAAGAGTCTCAGCGATTCCATTGTTGGGGCAAATGTGTGCAGATCAGGGAAGCTAAGATACACTGGGTGTCATCTTCTGTCTACCTGCTTTAACCGTTGGGAGTTCCCCTGATTCTGATTGTTTCAGGACGTTGCTTGGATGTTGTCATATTCCTAGGGTTCAAGGCACTCTTCATGAAATCCAAGGAAACAAGCTTTGGGTATGTCCCAGTGCCATTTCCCTTGGGTCTTGCAACTGAAGAATTGTGTTTCTTCCCTAGAAAAAAGAACACACTTTTGCCCACTCACTCACCTCCTGCAAGTCTCCAAAACCACAGCATTTTATCCTAGACTGTGTTCCCCCAGGAGGCGGTTCCTTCCTCTGCATTCCTGTACTCCATACTACTTGATATGTTCTTACATGCAACGCCATGCAATTGTGTTTAGTTGATTCCTTTGAATTCGAATGAGAACTCTACATGGGCATAGATTTTTGCCTTTCATTCACTGCTGCATTCCCCAGTCCGGAAAGCTATGCCTGGCACACAATGAGTCCTGGATGAAGGTCAGTTAAGTCATTAATGCTTGAGTCCCAACAGGCAAACAGCTGGATTCATGAATATGAATGAAAGACTTACCTCTACATCCCTTCATCAAGGTGTAGAGCTTCAATTCCATTTCCTGGAAAGCTCTACAATAGCTCTTCCTCCTCAAAAGGCTCTGGTCTTGTGATTCATAGCATTCGTCCACCAAGACATGAATAAAGGATCTTTATGTCAGAGGTTCCCTGTTCAAAGCTGCTTTAGAGACCAGGCGTGGTGGCTCATTCGGGTAATCCCAGCACTTTGGGAGGCCGAAGTGGGAAGACTACTTGAGGTCAGGAGTTCAAAACCAGCCTGGCCAACATGGTGAAACCCCATCTCCATTAAAATACAAAAATGAGCCAGGAGTGGTGGCGGGAACCTGTAACCACAACTCCTTGGGAGCTCGAGGCAGGAGAGTCACTTGAACCCGGGAGACGGAGTTCAGTTGGAGTTGCAGTGAGCCGGGACCATGCCATTGCACTTCAGCCTGGGTGACAGAACGAGACTCCATCTCAAAAACAGTAAAAATAAAAAAGCTGTTTTAGGAAACATCCCTTTTTTATTATTTTTTGAGACAGGGACTTGCTTGGTTGCCCAGGCTGAAATGCAGTGTCGGGATCACGGCTCACTGCAGCCTCCACCTCCTGGGCTCAAGCAATCCTCTGACTTCAGCCTCCTGAACAGCTGGGACTACAGGCACACAGCACCCCACCTGGCTAATTTTTTCTTTTTCTTTCTTTTCTTTTCTTTTTTTTTTGTGTGTGTAGGGACAGGGTTTCCCTCTGTTGCCCAGGCTGGTCACAAACTCCTGGCCTTAAGTGACCCTCCTGCCTTGACCTCTCAAAGTGCTGGGATTACAGATGTGAGCCACTGAGCCCAGCCTAGGAAACAGCCTTTTGAGTCAGGTGCAATGTCTCCTGAACTCCGCAGAGCCTCTGTGCCTGCAACTGGACTTCAGCTTCACAGACCTATGCGACTGCAGGATCAGATGAGGGCACTCACTTACCGGCAGTCCCACATTTCTGGAGCGTCTGTGCTGAGGGAACGGTCCATGCTACAGCAAAGCAGAACAACCACTCTGCCTTTTGTATTTTATACTTTTTTTCTTTTTTGAAACAGGGTCTCTCTGTGTCACTCAGGCTGGAATGCAGTGGTGTGATCATAGCTCACTGCAGCCTCCAATTCCTGGACTCAAGTGATACTCCTGGCAGATGGGACTACAGGCGCACACCACCAAGCCCAGATAACTTTCTGTATTTTTTGTAGAGATGGGGGATCTCACTATGTTGCCCAGGCTGGTCTCCAACTCCTGGCCTCAAGCAGTCCTCCTGCCTCCACCTCCCAAAGTGCTGGGTTGCCGCCAGCTTGCATTTCACATGCTTAATAAACCCAATCAGCATGTTTCCCACCTGCAGAGTGACAATAGTGCACGTTAGCAAGGATTTCTTATAGACCAAGACCAAAGACCTAATTACTTATCTATTGACCAATCTTGGAGAGGAAAGGCAGAGTCCAAGGCTTAATTCGGGGTCCAGGAACCATAAGAGGAAGGTCTCCTTGGATCTCATTTGAGCCTGAAGTAGTTCAGTCTATGACAGACACCGTCAGAGGGCAGAAGCGCAGGTGAACGCGGCAGTGGGAACTTTGTCAGGGTAGCAAAGGACGTCTTAGGCAATGAGGCTTGCAAAGCAGCCTTGGGTTATTGAGAAAGCTCTCTCAGGGTGGATTCTCAGGGCTCTGGGATCTTCTCCGTCTTGCAGGTGCCTCTGTTTTTTGGGAGGAAGCAGGTAGATCTCATGTGTCAGGGCAATAAGGAGCAGGAACGAATGGATGAAACAAATCTATTGGGGTGGGTAGTGGCTGTGCCCTGGGGAGCCGAGAGAGAGACAGGGGGATGGTGCTGGTTTCAGACAAGATAGTTGAGCAGAAACTTGAAAGAGAAAAGGAGAGTGGATTGTGGGGACCTGAGGAACTGGAATTCTGCCTGGGAAATCGGCCACTGCCAACGTGAGGGGTGGGGTTAGGAGCGTGCCTATGGTGATGGAGAAGCCTGGGGGAGGTGCCTGGTTGATGGGACGAAAGGAGCCATCAGCAGAGAAGGAAAAGCCCAGAGTCTCCTTCCAGGCTTGCTTAAGGACTAGGGAGGGGCAGGATATGAGATGATGTTGGAGGATTCTGAGCAGGGGACGGGCCTAGGTGGGAGGCGGGGCAGAAGGAGAGCTGGGCGAGGACATGGTGAGAGGCGACGCTGGCTCATCCAGGAAGGACGGCCAGGAGGGAGCAGAGGGAAAGGGGCGCGCAGAGGTCCCAGAGGCAGGGGCAGGGGAGAACGTCCAGGGAAGGAGGGAAGGGCAGGGGATTTGGAGACGGGGCACCCTGAGAGAGAGAGAGGGATCCAGGCAGCAGGCAGACACCACAGCCTGAGCTTCACCCCAGCTCAAGGTTGGCCCTGGGAGGGCTTTGAGCGGAAGGTGGGCAAACACCTGCAATAGGAGACCACACTGCAAACGTTCTGGGCCCTGCACACGCCTCCTTGCAGGCCAGGCGGCCAGCCCACAAGGTAATTTAATTCCTGGTGCCTGTGGGCGTCCTGGAAAGAGCCAGTTGGCATCGGAACGCTCTTCTCCAAAACCTGTCCCAGTGCCCCCAACGCGGACCTGGTGTGAAGGGGACCTTTAGAGAGGTCGCGTTAGCAATGCCATGTGCTCTGCCCCACAGGTTACTTCAATGATGTGGACCGTGATGATGGACGCTACCCGCCCAGGCCCAGGCCGCCTGCAGGTAGGTGCCGAGCCTCTCCAGACGCGACACGTTGTATTTGCGCAGAGAGGGTGGGATGAGAGGCCTGAGATTGGGGATGAGAGGCCTGAGGTTGGGGCAGAGTTGGTCACGGGTGGACGATAGGCTGGTGCAGGGGATGACAGAGAAGGCCCCATGGCCGCATCAGTGGGGTTTGCGGTCTGGGCATCTGTCCACCTCTCCAAGCTGGTGGGCTGGATGGAAACAAAATGAACAGGTAGAACTGGAGGGTCCACTGAAACACCTGTGGTCATTTCTGTTTAGACTTGTATAGTGTAAGTGTGGCTGTATATGTCCAGACACACCTTTATATAGCTGCATGCTTCTCAGTCTTCATTTGTGTGTATATGAAGGTTTATATATCTTTATATTTGTGTGTATGTATACTTTTAAATATATACAAATACATTTACATATGTAGGTATACGGGTTTTTTCATGTGTGTATATACATGCTTTTGTATATATACACTACGTAGATACCTTTCTATGCTTTTATATATGTATATTCCTGACTTTATATATATCCTTATATATATCTTTACATAGGTACATGTTTTATATGTGTATATATATCTTTATATTTATATGCAGATATATGCTTTTTATATATATTTATGTATTTATATGTATATCTTTTAATATATCTTTTAAAAATGTATCTTCATGTATATCTTTAAATACATATACATTTTATATATATTTTTATATTTTATGTGTATGTTACATAAATATATATCTTTACATATATAATTACATATATGCCTTTATATATATCTTTATATATGTACATATATACCTTTGTGTGTATGTGCTTTTATTTATGTATGTATACATTTATATATACACTTTTATATATACATATATCTCTTTATATGTGTGTATAAATGCCTTTATATATGTACACATATACCTTTATGTGTATATACTTTTATATATGTTATATATACACACACACTTTATATATACATGTGTATATATGTTTATATAGGTATATGTCTTTATATATGTATATACATTTTTTTTTTTTTTTTTGACTCGGAGTCTCGCTCTGTCACCCAGGCTGGAGTCTGGAGTGTAGTGGTGCAATATCGGCTCACTGCAACCTCTGCCTCCTGGGTTCAAGCGACTCTCTGCCTCATCCTCCCGAATGGCTGGGATTACAGGCGCCTGCTAGCACACCCGGCTAACTTTTGTATTTTTAGTAGAGACGAGGTTTCACCATTTTGGCTAGGCTGGTCCTGAGCTCCTGACCTCGTGATTCAACCGCCTCGGCCTCCCAAAGTGCTGGGATTATAGGCATGAGCCACTGCACCTGGTCTATATGTATATCTTTTAATGTATCTTTATATGTCTTTAATATATCTTTACATACATAAACATTTTATATACATTTTTATGTTTTATGTCTATGTTATATAAATATATATTTTTATACATATATAATTATATACCTTTATTTATATATATCTATATATATACACATATATGCCTTTATGTATATATGCTTTTATATATGTATGTGTACATTTGTATGTACACTTTTATATATGCATATGTATATGTCTTTATGTGTATAAATATCTTCATAAATATATTTATATATCTATATATAACCTTTATATAGGTATAAATATCTTATATAAGTATATATTTTATGTGTATATATGCATTCTTTGTATATACACACATTTGTAAATGTCTTTCCATATATGTATGCATATGTAGCTTACATATGTTTCTATACTGTTATATATACATGTATACCTTTATATATATGCATACTGTTTTATATATGTGTATATAGGTCCCTTCATGTATATGTATATATACATTTAGGGGCGTGTGTATATATACCTTTGCATATGTACATATATCTTTATACACACAGACATATATAAACACTTCTAATATGAAGTTTTCTCTATAATTGGAGGTGAATGTCTACCAAGAATCTTTCATACAGAAATACAAGTACAGACAATAGGAGATGGAGATGCATACAACATTGGGCTGAAGAGTGTGATCTTTGAGGCTTTATTTTCAAGCATGTGAGGTTTCTGGTCTGTTTAGTTTTGCAATTTTATTTTAGAAGACATAAACGACTTGTCCCACATATTTTGCAAAGCTGGATCTGCATCCTTCGGACAACCAGATTGCATCCAGTCATCTTTTCTGCCGTGTTTACTTGCAATAAATAAAGAGCACTGTCTTAGAATTTATTACAATAACAATCAGGAATAAACTAAAATTACTAGTTATTTTTGAAAGGAGAAACTAAGAATATCTGTGATTGAGACCATCTGCTGCAAGGTCCTCCTAATCCGGAGTAGAGGTGGCTGGTCTCTTATCAGTTTCTCGGCAGGAAGCGGGTGCGCCTGCGTGAATTTGGAGTCCCCGGGGTAAATGTTTGTCCTGTGATGGCAAAGTGTTTTTATAGCTACAGCTCAGTGTTGGCATGAGTTTTCCCACGGGGAAGAGGACGCTTTGGTGGGGCCACCCTTCACTCTCCCCTACTGGTCACTCTTTGGAGCTCTCTTGGCAGTGACACGTTCACACGACTTGTTGCCATTCCCAATGAGCTGGACAGACCAACACCTGCAGGAAACGCCACGCTAGGACACCTGAACATCCCTCAACTCTACCTTCTCTGTCTAACAGGAGGTGGCGGCGGTGGCTACTCCAGTTATGACAACTCCGGCAACACACATGGTACCCCCACATCTGGGCACGCGGTGGTGGGCGGAGGGTGGGAGGGGTCGTCTTTCCAGGGCTCCCGGTTGCATTCTGCCCTGGGCCTTCTACCTGGAGTCTTTGGTGAGTGGGGTGCTGTGTGCCGGTGCCTGGTCTTCTGAGAACCTGTCTGTGCTGGACTGTTCTGCTTCTGTTCCCCAGGAGGGTGGGTGCAGTCACACGTACACACACACACCTTTGTTTAGGTAAAGGTAAACAGAGCAAAGAACTATACAACTAATTACAGAGAGACAGCATCCAACAAACTGGAAATTCTTTAGGGGCGCAGCTCACTTACTTCAAACAGAATAGAAAACACTTTCAATGGCCGGGCTTGGTGGCTCATGCCTGTAATCCCAGCACTTTGGGAGGCCGAGATGGGAGGATTGCTTGAGCCCAGGAGTTTGAGACCAGCCTGAGCAACATGGCAAAACCCTGTCTCTACAAAAAATACATATATACAAAAAGTAGCCAGGCGTGGTGGCATGTGCCTGAAGTTCCAGCTACTCAGGAGGCGGAGATAGGAGGATCACTTGAGCCCAGGAGGTCGAGACTTCAGTGAGCAGAGAGAGATAAGATCGCGCCACTGCACTTCAGCTTGGGTGACAGACTGAGATCCTGTCTCAAAAAAAAAAAAAAAAAAAAAGGTAACTCTTTTGGTCGGTGATTATGCCCAGAATGAAAGCAGTGTTCTACAGGAGCCATAAACAGGCTCTTGGCTTGGTTGAGTTTTTCTCATGGAGATCAGGGGACCTTGAAACCCTCAGATCCTCTCCGGACTGGAAAAGGAGGACTGAAGCCAAATGTCATCCCTGAGAAAGAAAACAAGAACAAAACACTCTGGAGGCGGATTTTAAACCATTGTCTCCATTTTAACATTTTCCCTTTGTTAAGAGTTTTGCACACCTTCAATGAATTGAGTAACCATCTTTTCTTTTCTTTTTTTCTTTTCTTTTCCTTTTTTTTTTGAGACAGAGTTTTGCTTGTTGCCCAGGCTGGAGTGCAGTGGTATGATCTCTGCTCACTGCAACCTTGGCTTCCTGGGTTCAAGTGATTCTCCTGCCTCAGCCTCCCAAAGTGCTGGGATTACAGGCATAAGCCACTGCGCCTGGCTAATTTTTGTATCTTTAGTAGAGATGGAGTTTCACCATTTTGGTCAGGCTGGTCTTGAACTCCTGACCTCAGGTGACCTGCCCTCTTCAGCCTCCCGTAGTGCTGGGATTACAGACGTGAGCCACCGCGCCTGGCCTTGAGTAGCCATTGGTTAAAACTAATATGTGCCAAGAGCTCTGGCAAGGTGGGAAGTACTTTTTTTCTTTTCTTTTTTTCAGATATGGTCTCATTAGGCTTTGTGAGACCCAAGGCTCTTGGCTCCCTAAGTTTTCTCTGAATCTCTGACACGAGGCAGCTTAATCAATAGGAGAAAAAGCATACAAATGTATTGAGTGGATGTACACGCAAACCTTCAGAACCAAGACTCAACCACCAATGGGATGCACAAGCTTATAGAGCATCTTTTGTAACTTTGATGTTAGGTTCAGGGTCCTTGTGTAGGGTTGTTATATAGGTAAATTGTTTGTCACAGGGATTTGGTGTACACATTATGTCATCACCCAGGTAATAAGCATAGGTAGTTTTTCCATCCTCACTCTCCTCCCATCCTCTGCCCTCAAGTAGGCCCTGGTGTCTGGTGTTCCCTTCTTTGTGTCCACGTTGTCAATCGAGAAAAACGACGAGACGAGTCTAAAAGATTTATTTGCCAAAGTTAAGGTTAAGGACGCGCACCCAGGAGACTGGTCTGTGCCCTTCTTCGAAGATGATTTTGAAGGCTCCAAATTTAAAGGGGAAAGGGTGGGAAATTGAGAAGTACATAATTTTCATGGAAGTGGGAGGTAGGGAAAATAGCTATTCATGCTTTTGTCTGGCTCAGTGCATCTGTGTTTTTTACATAAGATGACATAGACAAATGGGGCAGAGGGAAAATGCAGGGAATCTGCATGTTGCATAAGATAATCTGGACAAAATGGGGCAGGGGAGCAATCACATATGATTTGTGTCTGGTGGGCGGGGGTGACTGCACCTGTAAAGATAAGCTATCAATTTGCATTGTCATGGTGAAATCTTCACAGCTCACTAGGAATTTCCTTGTGGGCAAAATATGGGGGAGACGTGTAGCTTTTCATCTTGTAGCCATTTTATTTAGGAACCAAAATGGGGAGGCAGATTTATGTGACCCAGTTCCCAGCTTGACTTTTCCCTTTGACTAAATGAATTCAGGATCACAAAATTTAATTTCCTTTCACAGTGCATACTGTGTGTTTAGCTCCCACTTGTAAATGAGAACACATGGTATTTGGTTTTCTGTTCCTGCATTAGTTTGCTTAGGAGAATGGCCACCAGCTCGATCCGTGTTGCTGCAAAGGACATGATCTTGTTCTTTTTATGGCTGTGTAATATTCCACAATGTACGTGGGCCACATTTTCCTTATCCAGTCTACCATTGATGGGAACCTAGGTTGATTCCACGTCTTTGCTATTTGAGTTTGCTATTTGCTGTTCTTTGCAGGAAGAATGTGGGCTCAGAGCATGGCCCAAAATAGGTGATGTTGGTAAAGCAGGTTTAACAGGTGGCAAGCCAGGTGATGAGAGGCAGACAGGAAAAGGCCTGGCTGCAAGGGGGTCCTTGTTATGCAGATAAAGGTTCCCAGGTACCAGCACTCAGAGACAACCATGGTAAATGTTTCTTTTCAGACCTGTAAAGGTGTCAGAGTCTCAGTTTCTCTCTCCTACATCCAGGAAAAGCTTAGAAAGGGAGGGCCTGGCTGCAACAGCAAAGATCCTCTACAGACGCCAATTTCCCCACCTCAGTCTGCTGGCCCTGGAGCGGCAATTTCAAAATAAGGCAAAGCGATATATTTTGGAGTAAAATATTTTGATGTCTGTCATCTTCATTACCTCTGAAGCGAGTGTTGTCATCAGATCCGTTCAACAAAATGAAAGCAATGCATGACGCTCGACTGTCCACTTCAAAGGAGCAATAGCTGTGGCCCTATAGGTAGCTCATCCTCAGAACTCACTCCCTGTGACACAGACAAGCTTCAGGGTGGGAGGGGGCTCATGACAAGGTGCTCATTACCTGGGGTCAAGAACTGTCCACTTTTGGCTGGGCATGGTGGCCCACGCCTGTAATCCCAGAACTTTAGGAGGCCAAGGTGGGTGGATCACTTGAGTTCAGGAGTTCAAGACCAGCCTGGGCAAAATAGTGAAACCCTGTCTCTCAAAAAAAATGCAAAAATTAGCTGGGCATGGAAGTGTGTGCCTGTGGTCCCAGCTACTTGGGAGGTTGAAGTTTGAGGCTGTGGTGAGCCATGATAGCACCACTGCCTTCCAGCCTGGGCCATGGATTGAGACCTTGTCTCAAAAAAAAAAAAAAACCAAAAAGAATTGACCACCTTCAACTCAACGTACTATGAGTTCCTTCCACCATCTTTCTGTAACTACCTAAGGGGTTCCCCTTACCTACTACCTAGATAGACCTGGTTTATTAAGATGGGAATTGCAATAGAGAAAGAGTTTAATTCACACAGAGCTGACTGAACGGGAGCCTGTGGAACGGTTATGCTGTCTGGGGTACATACCCTGGGGTTCGTTGTTGCACGCTGAGAAAGAATTCAGGACACAGACACGTGGGTGGGTTAAGGAATTGAAAGTGTAATAGAAGAAAGGAGGGGGGGAAGAGGGGGGAGGGAGAGAGAGAGAGAGAGAGAGAGAGAGAGAGAGAGAAACATCTGAAAAAGTTGAGAGGTTGTGGACCACAGCAGCTTTTATAGGCAGGCTGGAGGAGGCGGTGTCTAATTTACATAGGGTTCACAGATTGGTTCCATCACGTATGACTTCTACATAGTGTGTGGGGAAGGCTGGTGGCCCCACCCTAATCTTATTATGCAAATAGGCTTTCCAGTTGGTCAGTGCCATCTTGTCTGCTTCTTATTGTACATGGGGCTGACAAAGAGGAGGGAAGATGAAGCCGCCATCTTGAACGTGTCTAGGCCCTAGTTCCTGCCGGCATTCACCCATGCAAGCTCCTAGCTGGCTTGTCTATGTCTGCAGCTCAACTTTACAGGCTGCTCTTTGTTAGAAAATGATTTGGGGCTGCTTTTCATTAAAAAGAAAAGCCTTACTGAGGACTCCCATACCCTTGCTATGTGCCTAAGTAATTAAGTAATTCCTTCTTAACTCCTATACCAACTGCAGTTTTTGCTTTTTTTTTCTTTAAACAGGGTTTCATTTTGTTACCCAGGCTAGACTGCAGTGGTGAAATCATAGCTCACTACAGCCTCAACCTCCTGGGCTCAAGCAATCCTCCTGCCTCAGCTTCCTGTGTAGCTAGGACCACAGGTGTGTGCCACCACACCTGGCTAATTTTTAAAAATTTTTTGTAGAGATGGGGTCTTACTATGTTGCCCAGGCTGGTCTTCAACTCCTGGCCTCAAGTGCTTCTCCCACCTCAGCCTCCCAAAGAGCTGGGGTTACGGGCATGAGCCACTGCACCTAGCCAAGACTGGAGTTTTATGACTCAAATCAGCTTCTCCCAAAATTTGGACACTGGGATTTTTAAAGTATAATTTGGCCGGCAGGAGACCCGGGAGTGGGGAGTGCTGAGTGGTTGGTTGGAGGTGGAATGACAGAGGATGGACATGGGTTCTTCTAGCTGTCTTCTGTTCCTGTGTGGGACAGCAGAGCTGGCTGAGCCACATCACCAGTCTGGGTGGCGCCGGCTGGTGCATCTCAATACAGGGTTTAAAAAATATCTCAACTTCAACCTTAGGTTTTACAATAGTGATGCCATCCCTAGGAGCACCTGAAGAGGTTTGGAATCTTGTGGCCTCCGGCTGCATGGCTCCTAACCTATTAATATAATTTCTAATCTTGTGACTACTTTGTTAGTCTTTCAAAGACAGTCTGATCCCCAGGGAAGG